AGCCGTTTTTTGCCCGAGTCGATGTGAAATTTCAATAAAACATTTTAGCCGTTTTTAGCCGCTTTTTTTTGCCAATCTAGCCGGTCGGCCCAAAAAGTTCTGGCAACATTGGTCGGCATACTAGAGCATTCAAACTATTCAATAAGTGGGAGTGTGCATTGCTTAGCTGGCGCTCTTCGTATGTGAAACACACATGTGCTCAGAGAGCGCTGAGCATTATTTAGGGGTGGCTCACAAGCAGTGTTGCCGCGAATCTTTTTTAGTGGTAGCCAAATTGCTTTAAAAAAAGTTCTAAAAAAGAGCTAAAAAAAGTCGTTGTGGCTAAAAATTGTAGCTAAAATTGTTTGCTTACATATACATATATAAGTATACACGTAAACATTTTCAATAAGTAATGGTATAGAAAAACAATGAACTCTTTAAAAAAGCTAATATTTTATCCAACCAAAACCTTTTTGTATAAAAGGGGAAATATACGACACCAGCATGCTGGCTCTATCAAGTGATTGTACCATCAGGCTCGAAGCATATAACTTACCAGCATGCTGGTACAATATTTATTTCGTTACAACTGAGGTCGAGGAAAGATCGAAATAATTAAGAGCCGAAAATTCATAATTTTTCTATCATTTTGTTAAACATTGTTTTTTATTTTAATTCAAAACTGCAATATCGTGAACTTAATATTCCACAAACACGGCCTTGACTCATATAGTGCAAGAAATTTCCGCCAAAATATTTTTTACTTAGAAAATTGAACTAATTTTACCACTCACGACAATCACAAAATTTTCAAATAGTCTTTGAAGTCGCACTAGCAGCTGGTACAATCACACCACAAGAACATACACGGTCAATCGCCTTGATAGGCCATTTAACAAATGAACCATATTAAGGGACAGTTTTTCAGTGCACGGCCGTGGTTTACACTAAGTTTAAACGCCCGATCAGGCTGGTTTAAACCAAGATCAGCCAATCAAATGTCAGCCAGTTGTTCAATTTAGCGAGCGGAAATTAACTCAGTTTACTTAATCTGAGTTTAAACTGGCACTGAAAAACTGGCCCTAAGGGCCGTAAACTTATCTATTTTAAACTATAGTTAAATCGTTAATAGATAAGTTAACAACCCTAACACTTTTACAGTATGTATGTATAAAAACGTAAGAAACATACAATACATTTATGAATATATATCAGTCGTTCTTAGTTAAAAATTCATCTCTTACATAAATGAAAAAAAATTAGATCAAATTAAGCATATACAATTTTTTCATGCCAAAGGGCTAAAAAAAGGGCTAGGGGCAATTTTAAATTTATGTGGCCAAAAAAAGTATGTGGTAGCTAAATCTAGCCACCAAAGGTCTAAAACGGCAACACTGCTCACAAACATGAATATGTTCCGCTCTCAAACCAAATCGTGGTTGCCTCAACTAAGATTTGGTAACTATAACTATGCCTAAACCATGTGTTGAAAGAAAGCTTATCTGTATTAGCAGAGCTTAATGACATCATTTTATGAGCCATACGTTAAGTTGAACGGAATTTGTAGAAATATGCTTCAAAAAAATATTTATTAGTATTTACCAAACCCTTCAACTAAATTAACGATTTGGTACAACCTAGATGAATATTACATGGTAATAGTTCCCAATCCTTGGTCACAGTTCCCAAATATTGTCAAAATTCGGGAACTAAATATCTTTAGTTGTCGAAACTAATCCTTTTTCTCAGTGTAGATATTGATCACATCTCAACTAAAGTATTTATTTCATGTTTTAGTTATCATAAGCTACTCGTATCTTTTGTAGAAATTTGAACATGAGTCTAAACAATAACAAGTAATTTTTAAGCAAAAAAACAAAACCGACTTCAATTCGCATATACAAATTCAAGATTATCGTTAATTTTTTCATAATCCAATGATCGGATCTAAACCAAATTAGTATGAGACCACCTCTGAGGTATCACCTCTCCTTTAAACAAGTAATTTTTAAGCACAAAACCAAACCGACTTCAATTCTCATACAAAAATTTAAGAGTGTCGTTAATTTCTTCGCGATCATATTATCGGATCTAAACAAAATTAGAATGGGGCACCCTTGAGATACCACCTTTCCCATGAAAAATTATCGAAATCGGTTTACGTGGTCCAAAGTTATGCGGTAACATACATAAAAAATAAAAAATATTCCGACGAACTGATAACACTGGATCACAAATTTTAGTTTGGTTTTTGTTCTCCAGATACCATTGTCCAATTTCTATGTAGAATTGCTCGCTGATTCCGAAAATCGAGTTAATTTTTTTTCTGTTTATACTTATTCGAGATATTTTCATTTTACGTTTATTCAGCTTACAACAAAAAGTGGTTCCACTCAATCACGTATATCTTACGAGCCAATTTAATAATCTTAAAAGGAGAAACGTCAATCAAAGCTAATAAAATTCTCCATAAACCATATTTACATCACTTTCCGATAGGACTGATAGTTTCTGATAAATTAATTAATCATTCCAGTTTTTCAGCGTGTTACTCAGGTGTACGTGGCGTATGAGTAACTTTCGTTCCTGCTCATTTTTCATACAAAAAATCTTTGCGTATTTTCCTTTGATCTCCCATTGGTTCTTATTTATCCATGGATTTTCTTCATTAGTAATTTGATTTTTTTTTTAACAGAACAGACTTTAGCACAAATACAAAAATTTGACACAGAACCTGTTAATTTTTTAATTTTTCTTTTGTTAAAGATTGATTTCTTTTTAAATTTTCATTAAAAAATAAAAAACTGGAATGATTAATTAATTTGTCAGAAACTATAACCCTTATCGGAAAGTGATGTATACACGGTTTATGGAGAATTTAATTAGCTTTAATTTTCCGTATTTCATATTGAGAGTGTTAAATTGGTTCGTAAGATATACGTGATTAAAAGGAACCACTTTTTGCTTTAAGCTGAATAACGATAAATTGAAAATATCTCTAAAACGTGTATTTAGAAAAAAAATTTACTCGATTTTCGGAGTCACCGAGCAATTCTACATAGGAATCTGGTAGTGCCATCCATAGAACATTTTTGTTGTAAACCAGTGTGACCTTCTCCTTTTTGTGAAGTCGGTTAAGAAAGAATTATAAAAATCGGTTAACGTGGTCTAAAGTTATACGGTAACATAGATACTTATTGGCAAACAAATAAATAGTTCTTTAAGATTTTCAAAGTTAAAGCTTTACTTATTTGGCCGCAAAAATATTTTGTATAAGGGGAACGTTCTTTCTACGTCAACACTGATGATTTGGGCGTACTTAAAGTAAGCTAAGTTCATTGGGATTATACACGATGTGATTTTTTTGAGTGGCGTATAGTGCTCTTAATACACTGCTGAACTTACCGTCACTTTGTGTTTTCATACGTTGGAAAGCCTTAAAGGCCACCTGCAGACTAAAAAGAACCGGATGTTGGTATAACACTGAGTGGCATGCCGGAAATTCCTGGCGGCAGAGATTTAAGCACTTGTGATTTTCATTGCTACAGGATAGTACGCCACCATTACCTTTGTTGAAGACATTCTATAAAGTTGAGTTTACTGAGACTGAATGCGGGCTATATTCCATCACTGAGACCGGACTCACACATTGCCGAATCTTCACTAATGGCTCCAAAACTGACTCTGGGTCATGATCTGGGGTCTTTTTTGAAGTTAATGGGGATAAGCTTCACTTTTCTGTTGGGTAATATGCTTCGGTCTTCCATTTGGCCAGAATTGGCTCAGACCACGCATTCCTCGGTCCGCAACCAGTTTTAGCACACCCACTTTCGGCCATCGAAGCAACCATCGGAAACTGGGTGAATGCTTCGCTCAGCAATGACTGGGAGGCTTCGAGGGGATGCAGGTGAGCAAATCTCATGTTGCCTTCAATCTCAGGTCCATGGGCGTAGCCAGGTAGGGGCAGGGGGTATAACTCCTCAGGGCGAGAGAGTATAGTGATGGACTTACGTTCTCTATTTTTAAACCTGCAAATGTGTAATCACATTATTGTAATAAATAGAAATAAAAAATTATACAAAGAAAATATTTTAGCTTTATTTTGGCCACTCCGAGTTTAGTTTTTGAATTCACCCGTGTTTAGGCCAACGGCCTAAACTCCACTCAATTTCTACCCATGCTAATATTTAACAGAACGTCTTTTGTATTATGATTGCTGTCGAACTGTCTACGGTCCTGTTCATTATGTTAAAATATCGCTTCTATAACTAAACCGTTCGACCGGTAACCGTAACAAAAGCGTTATGCCGGTTCAACATACTGTGGTCCTTCGAGCCGTAATACTTAAGAGTTTACTTGCCAGCGCCCAGCTCTTTGCACATCTAAGGATTTTGAGCCAATCGAAAGCAGCCGTATATTGCACCAGCTACAAAATTTTTGCACCAAGCAACCACAGCAGCATCCGGCTCGAAGGGCCAGTATGTTTGTATGCTTATACAAAGTTGTGGCCGATTTAATTTATGTAAATGAAAACAAAGGAAAGAGTTTGTATTAAAATTCAATATAAATTGATGTTTATTCAAATGCATATATTTTGTTTGTACAGATTACCTTTGATTGATACAGGAACACAGTGGCTGGAACACGTCCTCTTGACTTCACTCTCGGAAAACAAGTAAGTAAACCGATCTTGTCTTTTGTTACGGTTACCGGTCGAACTGGATATTTTAACATAAGGAACAGGATCATAAACAGTTCGACAGAAATCATAATACATTCAGCCCAATTCTAAATTTTCCCAGGGAGAATCAATTTTGGGAGCAAAGTTTTTCCCAATAGTAAAACTCCCAAATTACAAAACTCTGGGAGATTGAGTTTTTTGGGAGTGGGAGTTCGAATTTTCGAAATCATATGTTTTGTTTTGCTTTTTGTATTGTGAGTTATTTTCTTTGTAAGAATTTCATAAAGGAAGTGAAGAATTTTTAAATTTTAACGGCCAAAATTTTAAATATCGCTTTAAGGAGATTTGTGGTGCAAGAATGCGAGGAGCAAGAAGATAATTTTCAAAGAATGAGCCGTCGGAATGTGCGTGATGCCACAAATCCCTTGGAGCTGCCTCAAACATTGTAAGCTTATAGCTCAATGTATACATTTCCGACGGGAAAATTAAAAACATAATAACATAATAATAGAAGTTTACGAAATACTTTCGGGTGAGTAAACCTGCATTTAAATACCTGCTGGAAACGTGTGGATCCTCTATTCAGCCTGACAAAAAGCAGTGCGCTGTACCAATAATAATTAAACTTAGCGCTTGTTTGCGTTTGTTTGCCGAAGGTGGACACCAGACTGGAATTGGCATGGATTATGATGTCGGTCTGGCCCAATCAACTTTGAGCAAAATACTAGTCGAAATATTAGACGTTTTCGAAAAAGCAATTTGCCCGAATTGGATAAAGGTTCCAAAATCGGAGGAAGCAAAGGGGAAGACTGCACAAATTTTCTATCTGAAACACAAAATTCCTGGAGTAACAGGATGCCTTGACGGAACTCATGTTCGCATTATTGTGCCAACCGAAAATAAACATTTGTACTACAATAGAAAAGGAAACTTTAGTTTAAATGTTATGCTGGTATGCTGTGTTGTATTAATTCAATTTACGTATATGTATAGCTCAAATTAAATACTTTCCAGCTTTGTGACAATTACTTAAATATTCGCTACGTTGATGCATCACATCCCGGTGCCTGTCACGATTCCTTCATTTGGGATTCCAGTGGTCTACGCGCTTACTGTGAACAGCAATATTTGCAAGGTGTTACTAACTTTTGGTTCTTAGGTAAGTGATTAGTATTTTAATATATATAAGTTTTTAAATTGCTTTTCTTTAGGTGATGCCGGCTATCCGTTAGAGCCATGGTTATTAACTCCACACCGAAATCCGCACGAAGGTTCAGCGGAAATGAAATTTAATGAGGTCCACTCAAAATGCAGAAACATTATTGAAATAACCAATGGAGTTTTGAAAAATCGGTGGAGATGTCTACTTGGCGTACGGGAGCTTCATTATACTCCAAAGAAGGCAGCGAAAATCATAAATGCTTGCTGTTGTTTGCATAACATTTGCATATTTTTCAAAACAGATGAAGTTCCACATAATGATACTGGTGTTTATATTCCGGGAAGTGAAGTGTTCTCTATAACTTCCTTTCAAAATTTAAATGCAGCTCAAATGATAAGAACCAATATTGGTAACTCACTCACCTAAAATTTATTAATATTTCTGTTTTCATTCATTTTTACGAAGGCTTAGTTCCTTTCTCCTATAACTAACATAATGGAATAAAAATTAAAAGAAATATTTATTATAAAGATATAAAATTTGTATTTAATTCATTTCATTTTATTTAGCGTTTAGCCTTTTTTAACCGACTTCCAAAAAAGGAGGAGGTTATCAGTTCATCGGAATATTTTTTTTTTTTTTTTTTTTTTGTGTATGTTACCGCATAACTTTGGACCACGTCAACCGATTTCGATAATTATTTTTGCATCGGAAAGGTAGGGTCTCAGAGGTGGTCCCATACTAATCTGGTTTAGATCCGATCATTGGATCTTGAAATATATAGAGATATATATATTTTGTTTTAAGTCGGTTTTTTTTTGCTAAAAATTACCTGTTAATTAATACGTGTGTATTTTGAATGACTACATACATATGTATGTACATACACTTGTGATCAGCTAATTAAGTCATCGACATTTTGATCAATTTTGGCTATTTTTATTTTGTTTATTTAATGTTAATTATACTTACATAAAAGTCTAGGTCATTATATAACAAACACCATATTAGTCCACATTTCAAACTTTGTGCAAAAATTATACAAAATCTGCAAAGTTCCAGATAAATTTTCAACTTTTTATTCAGATTTTTTAGAATTTCATAGCCCGTTAAATTCTAGGATAATAATGTGCAAGTTTCAAGTTGCTAAAGAAACGCGTTGATTTTTAATAATTGTTTTTCTGTCGAATTTATTTTGAAAGAAAAAAATATATTAAAAATCAACGCGATTCTTCAGCTATTAAAACTTGCACATTATTACCCTGGAATTTAATGGGCTATTAAATTCTAAGAATTTAGTTGAATCTTTGCTGATTTTTTATAATTTTCGCACAAAGTTTGAAATTTGGATTTATATGAGCTAGACTTTTATGGAAAAATAATAAACATTAAATAAACAAAAAAAATAGCAAAATTTATCAAATGGTTGATGACTTAAATAGCTGATCATAAGTGTACATTACGTATGTACATAAATTTTGTCCAATATTGTGCACATCAATCGCAATTACAATAACAAATAATTAAATAAAATCTATCAATTTAAAAGTAACTTCAGGTATTCATAGTAACAGTTTAACTCAAACTTAAATTCATATAATGTAAAGTCTTCACTACATTTTTAAAGTAGTCTTTAACTCTTCAATTTCCAAAATTCGTCTATTTTTTCAATTTTATTTTCAATTTCTCTTTTCCTTAGTTCTTCCATCAAAGAAATGGTGGCGTTGTATTTCTTTAAATATATCTTCTTCAATTTTCTCAATCGCAGCAAAATGTTTTTTTTTGTAGACTGTAAAGGCTATCTATTGATTTATATATTTTTCTTATCTTCTCACATAAATCCTTTTGTATTTCTGCCTCTTCACCAATCAATTCCAGCGAGTTAATTTGTTTTTTAGGAGATTTTTGAGTAGGTATTTCTTTGATGCATGCAAAATGATCAGTTACCGCGGTCGTGTTCGTTCGTTCTTCTAGATCGTCTAATGTGTACTAAAATGTAATAAAAGATTAAAGTATAATACTGCACATTACCTAGCAAAATTTGCGATACATCCATTTCATTTGAATCGATCGTGAGTTCAGTTTGTTCCGCTTGCAACCCAAACTTGGGCACGACTATACCCTCCACGGACTCCTTCATACTTGTAAGTTTGTAAATTGCCTCTTCGGTCGCCGAAAATTTCTTTTCAGTGTTTGGTGCCCCGCCTGTGCCAGTCCTGGCTCTTACATTTTGGGCCGCTTGTTTCTAAAATGTTTTTTTTGGTCCACCCACATCTATAATAAAAATTTTATTGAAATATGCAACAAATCGGTACACTTGTGTACGTTTTTCCATTCGGCAACAGTTTTCATTGGTGGACCTGCACTGTTCAGCTTTATTTTTCTGACCGCCAAAATTTTGCCAACTCTTCCTTGCCGCCTTTAAAGAAACGACGAGCAATACCCGGTTGGGAATCCATTAATTGCACCAATAGTTCCAATTGCCTTTTATTTGTGGTCTTTGCCCTAAAATAAGATATTTATTTTAATTATTATTTAATTTTAATTCTAATACTTACATTTTGCCGCGCTGTTCCTTACGAGAAGAATGAGGAACAAAAACTTGAGAAATGTCATTACTTCTCCCTTTCCCACTACATTCGTAATGCCACCTTTTTGTTGCCTACATATTCGAAGTTAGTTTAGAATGAGGGAAAAGAGAGGAAGGTCAAAAATGTGGGAGATTTTTTATTAAGAATGCGGGAGTAGGGAAAAGAGAACAAACTCCCAGGGAAAAAGGATTTAGAATTGGGCTGATAAGACGTTCTGTTAAATATTAGGGTGGGTCGAAATTTTGTGGACTTTAGGCCGTTGGCCTAAACAACCCGCGATGCAAATTTACATAGTTAGATCTAATCTTCACATTTCATCTTTTTACGAGCTTTGGGAATATTAAGAAATGTATCAGCAGCGGGTCCACCGAAAACAGTAAACTTTTTAAAAAGGTCCACGAGAAAAAAGTTTGAAAACCTCTGATATAGGCTATTTAATTTTTCGCCTTCAATATTGAAGAAGCGTCACTATAATTTAGATCTTTAAGAATAGTTTGAAATTCCTTAAAATGTAGACAATAATATTTTTCCGCCTCTAAAAAGGTTCCCCATCTCGTTAATATTGGCTGTGGCGGAAGAGCGATATTGGGATACATGTGCTTAAAAGCTTCAACGCGCAAAGTAGATTTTAAAAATATGTTTTCAATTCGATATTAAATCTTCTAGATCACTGAAGCGGGCTCTTACATCTTCGGCCACTCGGTGCATTGCGTGCCAAACAAGTTACGTGCATTAACTTTGGGTAAAATACCTTCAGCGCCTTGGTTGATTATACCATATCGAGCCCTAGCCCCAAAAAAATGTAAGCTACATATTTTTCAAAAATTTTCTTTTGATGCAGAAATGCCCGTAGAGCATCTAGATGCAATTCTGCATCAAAAGAAAATTTTGAACAAAATGTCGCTTATGTTTTTTGGCGGTTAGGGCTCGATATATAGCGCCGCGTCAGAGACATTAAAATAATTTTCGACGAAATCAGTACCCAATAGTTGCATGGAATAATTAAATGCTCTTTCAATTGTGGAGTGATTCGTCCGTTCTAGGCAAACGGCGTTTAAAAAAAAATGCACCGAAAATGCATTTTTGACAAAATATGCCTATACATACATATATGCATTTAAGCCAAAATATGTAAGAAGAGAAGCAAGAATAATGCAAAAAATGGTGGTCTATATATAAACAACCCTTAATGTTGTGCTTTTTTTAATTTTCTTTAATTTAAAGGTGTCTCAGGATTAAGTGAATTTTCATGATTGAGAGTAGGGATAGAAAAGGCGCCCGCAGAATCGATTCTTGACTTCGGAATCGACTTTCCGGTTTTCGATTCTTTAAGTCGATTAATCACCTCTGATTGTCGACTTTATGACTTAAATCGACTTTTTGAAAAATTACAAAAAAATTAATACTTACTTTATTAAGTAATGAACATAAATTATAATTTTTAATAATCCAACAAATTATATTTTATCAATTAGTTGCACACGATTTGGCATTGGAATTTAAAATTAAATATCAATATGAAATTATTAAGAAAACCACATATATTCATCGACTGATTTGTAAATTTTTGAGCAGTCAACGAATATCAACCTTGGAGCCATTATAAAATTATCTGTAGTATTGAACGCTTCTTGTTGAATGCTGTTTATTTACAATATTGTATTGCCATATTTTGAATATTACATAGTTGAAGCGGCGGTTTTGCTATAATGCACTATAATAATAATAAATGCAATAATAACACTACTGCAATAGTAGTCCGGGAGCCAGCCAGGTAAGGGCTAAGCTCAGGACCTTACCGGGGTCACACAGGGCGGATCGTGAACGGCCTACTCCGATAGGTTAGCTGCGAATAACCAATAAGCAGTCCCAGACCAAGAGCGGCAGGAGACGAGGGCCTGATTTAAAAGATCAGAAATGCTTGATGAATCTCCTGTGTCCGGGCGAACAGATGCCGCCCCCCAAAAAGCATCCCAGGATTGAGACCAGTTAGATCCTGTTCATGGCATACTGGAGCATGTATACGATTAGTCTGATATTGGGCTGGCGAGAGCAGTATTCCGCCACTTTAGTATGTGAGGGTGACACCTCACAGAAATGGCTGGTGGGCTAATGCTGCGATCGCCTCCGTCTCGTTAAAACCCTGGCAGGTCTTCAAGTACGTTCAATACACGTCGCCATTTAGTTGGCCGCACAGGTCCAGTTGAGATTTACTCCTGGTTTTGCGCTGTCTTGGCTCTGAACACAATATCCCATAAGGACTTGTGTCAACCCTCGCGATGGCCTGCTCCTTTGAGAGAAGGGAACTTCGGGACATTTAAAAGCGACTGTGCTACGTGTGGAGATAGCGGCTTGAAGCGGAGACCCAATTGACTGAAAATGATTAAAACAAAACCAATAAACGAAACGAACGTCGATGATACGGAGGAAGAATGCAGCGCATTCAGGAAGAGCAGTAGAGTCGTGCGCTCCCCGCCACAAACTCCTCTGCAGGCAAATTCCGGCACCACGAGCACGGAGAAAGCCGCCGGCGTGGCGCAGAAGGCTACACCTTGCCAAACGGCAACTCCCGGCAGCCGGGATAGTCGTCTTCAAACGCCGGCTGCTGCAAACAGCGACAAGCATGTCACCGCAAGCTTGGGAACTTGCGAAGGCAATGAAGATGAGCAATTGGCCCAGATTCGGCTCGTCCTGAAGAAGATGCAGAGCGCTGTGTCTAAGCAAAAGAATGTGTCCATGGACATAAAAACAGGTATGGCCCAAATCGAGGAGAGCTTAAATATATTAAGCTACCTCCGAGAGCAGCGCCGGAAGGGGCCTACCCTTTCCGAGCTGCGGAAGGCTGGCCCTGGCTCGCAAAAGAGAGGTCGAATTCGATCCGACTCCCCTACAGGCGAGCCGGAAAAGAA